AATTGAATTTCTGTTCATACTTTTTGTTGTCTTTTCTTTTTTCCAAATGTTAAATTCCTGTATCTGATTTTAAGTCTTAAAACATAATTCGTCTTAGTTGTCTTTTTTTGAAAATGTCTTCGTTCTTATACTTTTTTCTTCTTTCTTCTTTTTCATTCTTTCTTCCCTTTCTTTGTGTCTTAAATTAATCTTTTTTTTCTTCTCTTCATTTTTTTTAAGTTTTGGCATCTGCTGATAAAGTAGATTGTTTTTTCTTCATACCTCGATTTTTAAACTTATTTCAATTCTAGAGATTTAGGAAACACTTACAAATATGCCAGCATTATAGGTTCGAGCCCAACCATCGTCGTGGGAGTATTTTTGGAAGCTAAAAAAGGGGCACACTCGGAAAGAAACAGTTGCAATTTCTACAGCACATATTGAGGAAATAGGGTTTGGAAATGAATGGATTTACAAAAGTGGGAGAATTTAAACAGACAATGAGGACGAAAAAACATGAGGGTAGTTAATTATTTGTTGTCTACGTTGTTAATTAAAACGTTATTCACATTTTCGCCATATCTTTAGGTTTGTCACACAACCTTCTGCATAGGCGTGCTTATAGATGGGACAACTGTGGTCAGGTAATCGAAGTTTGAGCTTCACCGAGCCAGTTTTCTTGCAATGGGCACCAACGAAGAATATTCAACGAAACCAACTTTCTTAGCAGCAGACCTAACAATTGATTTAATATAATCGTTCCTCTTCATGTTGGTGGAAAACTTGAGACAAAGAAGGCCACATGGATGATATTGCTTTCAGAGGGTTGGAGGATAGCCTCAGCCATGCTCTGATGGACTGTCATTTTTTCTTATTTGGTCTTTCTTTTTGGTCTTTTCTCCTTCATCTTCTCTTTTCTTTCTTTTCTTTTTTTTTTTTTCTTTTCTTTTTCTTTTCTCTTTCTCTTTCTCTTCTTCTCTTTTCTTCTTTTTCTCTTCTTTCTCTCTTTTATTTTTTCTTCTTTCTTTCTTCTCTTCTTTTTTCTTTTCTCTTTTCTTTATCTTCTTCTTCTTTTCTCTCTTTCTTTTCTCTTTTTTTCTTCTTTTTTTTCTTTTTCTTTCTTTTCTTCTCTTCTTTCTCTTTTTTCTCTTTCTTTCTCTTCTTCTCTTCTCTTTCTTTTCTCTTCTTTCTTTCTTCTCTTCTTCTTTTAAGTTTTTCTTTTCTTTTCTCTTCTTCTCTTTTCTTTTCTCTTCTTTTTCTCTTTCTCTTCTCTTTTCTCTTCTCTTTTCTCTCTTTTTTTTTCTCTTCTTTTTTTTTTTCTTTTTCTCTTCTCTTTTTCTTTTCTCTTCTTTCTTCTTCTCTTCTTTGGGCTTTCTCTTCTTCTTCTTTCTTTTCTTCTCTTTTTTTTCTCTTCTCTTTCTTCTTCAAATTCTCTTCTTCTCTTCTCTTCTTCTTTCTTCTTTCTTCTTTTCTTCTTCTCTTCTTTTCTCTTCTCTTTTTTTCCATCTCTTCTTTCTCTTCTCTTTTTTTCTTCTCTTCTCTTCTTCTTTTCTCTTCTTTCTTCTCTTCTCTTCTTCTCTTTTTTTCTCTCTTCTCTTTCTCTTTCTCTTCTTCTTTCTCTTCTTCTCTTCTCTTCTTTTTTTCTCTTTTCTTTCTCTTCTCTTCTCTTCTTTTCTTCTCTTCTCTTCTCTTTCTCTTTCTTTTCTTTTTCTCTCCTCTTCTCTTCTTCTCTTCCCTTCTCTCTTCTTTTCTTCTCTTCTCTTCTCCTTCTTTTTTTTTTTCTCTTTCTCTTCTTTTCTTCTCCTCTTCTCTTCTTTTTCTTCTTTTCTTTCTTCTTTTTCTCTTTTTTCTTTTTCTTTCCTTCTTTTTATTTTTTTTTCTTCTTTTCTCTTTTCTTCTCTTTCTCTTCTTTCCTCTTCTTTCTTTTTTCTCTTTTCTTTCTCTTTTTTCTCTTCTTTCTTCCTTCTCTTTTTTTCTTTTCTCTTCTTTTCTTTTCTTCTCTCTATTCTCTTCTCTTTCTCTTCTCTTCTTTCTTCTCTTCTTTCTTCTCTTTTCTTTTCTCTTCTCTTCTTCTTTCTTCTTCTCTTCTCTTAAAATTTTTTTTAAAATCTCTTCTCTTTTTTTTTCTTTTCTTTCTTTTCTTTTCTTTTTCTTTTTCTCTCTTTATTTCTTTTTTCTTCTTCTTTTCTTTTCTTTCTTCTCTTCTCTCTTCTTTTTCTTTCTCTTCTCTTCTCTTCTCTTCTTCTCTTCTCTTTTTCCTTCTCTTTCTCTTCTGTCTTCTTTTCTCTTCTCTCTTCTCTTTTCTCTTCTTTTTTAAAATCTCTTCTTTCTTTAAGATCTTCTTCTTTCTCTTCTCTCTTCTCTTCTTTCTTCTCTTCTTTCTCTTTCTCTTCTTTTTCTTCTTTTCTTTTTCTCTTCTCTTCTTCTCTTCCCTTCTCTCTTTTTTTTCTTTCTTCTCTTCTCTTCTTTTCTCTTCTCTTAAATCTTTCCCAGTTCCAATTCTTGTCACTCTTTTTTTTTTAACTTTAAGTAAATGTTCATTCTCTCCATTTTTTTTAACTTTCATATTGTATTGTTTTCTTTAATTCTTCCGCCTTCTTCCCATCTTCTTTGTTGCCATTCACAAATATTTCTTCCTCTCAATTCTCTTTAAACCGCTTTCCCGTTCCCGCCATTCTTTTAATCTTCAATTTTTCTCCCGAACCCTGTCTGCTTGTCTCTTGTTTCCGCTTCCGGTCGATTCTCTTAGTTTCCTTTCGTTACAAAATGAAATGAGTCGAAATTCATTTCGACAGATGGGAAGACATTATTGTGTTCGCTATTGGTCAGACGCTATGACGTCATCATAATAATTTCCGTTTTGAGCTCTGAGCAACGCCATTGTCCCAGAGAGCTTGTCACGAGCCTTGTAACAAAATTTACGTAATGCTACTGTTAATAATAGTGATTGCGATGCTTCTTATAATGATATTAAAAATAAGAGAAATTCACAACAATAACAAATAATAATAACAGATAATAATAATAATAATAATAATAATAATAGTAATATTTATTGAGGCTTTGATGCTTATACCATCGATCTTAAAGACTTACATTAAGAAAATCGAAATAAATCCTAGTAACCGATCACTTCAGAAGTCTTCATTGCTTGGCACTGCAAGTAAATGTGCTATGGATCTGATGCCGTACGACTTGAAATGTTAATGTAATCTCCTGTCGAAAACGAATACGGAGGAAGAAATACTAATAGTTAAGCAAGTTTGTATTCGCAACGATTGTCCCAGTTTTGATTGGGGCATCGGGTTTTACATAACCGAACCTAGAAAAAACCTACATTAAGAAAAATGGAATAAAATCTAGGCTCCCACCGCTTCAGAAGTCCACGTTGCTTAGCATTGCAAGTATTCTGTGAAAGGTTCTATCTATCTTAGATCATGCTACATGATGGAGAACCCCTATTATGCAAGATGAAAACAAACAGCCCTGCGGAAGAAGAAACAATACTACTACTAATGATAATAATAATGCAATTTTAACTGCAATTAATATATGGTGTTAACACTAACGAAACCAGGTTACAAATAGTGGCTACGTAAATATGGGTTTTTTAAAAAAACGGAAGGTTTTATCCTTGCTGCACAGGATCAGTGCTTGTTAACTAAAAAATATCAAGCACACATACTAAAATATTGAGTTAGCCTGTGGAATCGCGCAGGGATTCCAACTATTTTTTCTTTTTTCCTTCCTTTCACAATCGGCTAGATTTATAGTATTAAACAGCCGACGTGATATATTATATATATTGCTCTATGAATTTCTAGAACGGAATTTCTCTTTTCCGCGCATTTCTTTGACGTCACTGACAAACTTTTTTTTCTCTTTTCTCTTCTCTTCTCTTTTCTCTTCTTCTCCTCTCTTCTCTTCTCTTCTTCTCTTCTCTTCTCTTCTTCTCTTCTCTTCTCTTCTCTTCTCCTCTTCTTCTAGCTCTTCTTCTCTTCTTTTCTCTCTTCTCTTTTCTCTTCTTTTCTCTCTTCTCTTCTCTTTTCTCTTCTTTTCTCTCTTCTCTTCTCTTCTTCTCTTCTCTTCTCTTCTCTTCTTCTCTTCTCTTCTCTTCTCTTCTCTTCTTCTCTTCTCTTCTTCTCTTCTCTTCTCTTCTCTTCTTCTTTTTTTCTTCTAATTCTCTTCTCTTCTCTTCTTTCTTCTCTTCTCTTCTCTTTTGTTTTTCAAGTCAGTCGCAGCTTGTTTTCAAAAGAAGAAGGTCGACTCATTTATTTCGTGCCCCTTACCCATACGCGTGCCGGAATATCTTAACTAACCAAAAACTTCCTAGTGACTTCTTGGTTCATTATGCCGAATATTTTTCCTGTGATTGTAACTTGTTTCAAACAACATGTTTGAAATTTCCTCCATTTTCCACCGGAGAATGTAGAGTCTACGACACTGTCGTCATCACACTTAAAAAAAAGACTAATTCATCGTCGATTGAAGAACTTCACTTACCTCCTTTTGAACTCTAACCTTTACGAACCAGTTTTTAAAAAAAGATAACATTACAGACATTATAAAACCTCGCAGTGAGTATTTTCTTTGTTGTGTATGCATGTAAATTGTTTAAGAAGACTCTGTTCCAGAACTTTCCTTCTGAAGAAACTTTTTTTCGCCTTAGTTTCATTTTGATTTTCGTTTTTGAACATCAACATTCTATTACTGACTACTCGTTGTTGAGACAAAATATTTGTTATTAAAATAAAGTTTTATGGTTTGTCTTCCACCAGACTCGTTTTTTTTCGTTTCCTCCTGGCTATCTATATTTTACTATTTTTTTGCATGTGTCGAATGACCTTTTTTTTAAAAAAAGATCACACATTTATTATTTTACTTTGTTAGTGGATTCGGTAGTCAAAATAGTGTCTGGCAATAAGGCCATCTTTTCGTAGGCCAGCACTGCATGCTACTGGGTCTGCTACAAGCCCCAAATCCAGATTCTGTGATAATTACCCAGAAACAAGTGATCACCTTGTATCAGGTTGCGCAGGAATAGCAGAAACTGAATATAAAACCCGGCATGACAGAGTTGTCCAATATCTGCCCTGGAAAACTTGCAACTTCTACGGGAAGGAAACTGAAAGAAATTGGTATGAACACCATCCAGACCCGCTTACGGAGATAGGACCAGTTACAATTTTATGGGGCTACACAATATACACAGAGAGAACAATCAAAACTAACCGCCCAAACATTGTTATTAGAGACCGCAAACCAAAAGGCTCCCTTCTTATTGTTATGGCAGTCCCTGCAGACTGCAATGTATCTTTGAAGATCTTCATAAAGCTATCAAAATACAAGGACATTGAAATCGAAATCTCAAAAAATGCGGCACATGAAAACATCAACATTCCCTGTTGTAGTTGGAACCCTCGGATTGGTTGGAAAAGATTCCAATAAACTAACTGAAGGGATTCCTTGAAGCCCGTGCCTTAACGAAATACAAAAAAAAAATGTTCTCACGATTACAGCCCATACCTTACGAAGGGCTTTATCTATGTAATTTTTTTTTTTTTTTTTTTTTTTTTGTCAGTGGAAAATGTTATGATGACATAACCTAACCTTAGGTCTCTGGGCGGGACCCGGAAAGAAATGTGTACACATCAGAAATCAAAGAAAATAATAATAATAATAATAATAATAATAATAATAATAATAATAAGAAGAAGAAGAAGAAGAAGAAGAAGAAGAATGCAAGAAAACTGCAAGGAACTAGTATGAACACCAACGAGACCCGGTTACAAACATAGAACCTAAACCAATTTTATGTGACTTTACAATACACACAAAAAGAACAATGAAAAGTAATTGTTCAGACATCGTGATCAAAGACCACAAGAACAGAATGTGCTTTGTTATTGATATGTCAGTCCCGGCTGATTGTAATGTATTTTTGAAGATCTTCAAAAAAAATATCAAGTTACAAGTGGAAATCTTTAAAATCTTTTAAAATCTTTAAGATGTGACACATGAGGACATCAACAATTCCAGTCGTAGTTGAAGCCCTCGGATTGACTGGGAAAGATTCCAACAGACTCACTGAATTATACATTTGATGCGGTAACTATTTGTCCAGGATCCATAAAGGATTCTCTTTAAAATCCTATCTAGCATAGAAAATAATATTTTTCCTCAACAAATTCCGTTTAGGTCAAGATAATGTTGACTTCCTGGGATCAAACCACACTTAACATTGTTTTATATTCTTCTCATGAATTCATATTTTATTAGTTACAATCATGTCGGAAGAAAACTTATGTTGAACAAATAGAAAAGTGCAATTCTTTTAAACTCTGTAATGTGCTCGTTATTATAAATTTATATGGAACCCTTTTTCCTAGCTTCAAATGTGTGCGTGTGTGTCACATGTTCATAGCACAAGTATAAACAGCTGAGTATATCTGAAATGCGTTTCTAAGATTTCCCTAACATTATGCTAAAGATTGCGCTGGAAACCTTTGTATCAACCTTAGATACCGTATTGAGCACAAGAAGTAACAAAAGCTTTTTCTTAACAAATTATGACGAATAAATACATGAGCACTTAAAATAAGTATAACAATACTTAAAATAAGTATGATAACACTAAAAATAAGTATAATAACACTTTAAAAAGAGTTAAAATAAATATCAAATACAAAAAAAGACTTTTAAAATACAAACAAGAAAAGATATTCAAAATAAAAAAATTAGAGATTTTTAATACAAAAAAAATGAAGGATTTTAATAAAAATAAGATATTTTTTTAAAATGTAAAACAGGTTTACGGCCACATCACGTTGAAACACCCGTTCACTGAAGTTAAGTAACGTTGAGCCTAGTCATTACCTAGATGGGTGACCGCTTGGGAATATCAGGTGCTGCAATCTTGGATGTGTGAGTGGTGTAATGGATAATGTCTTGGAATTGTTAATAGGAGAACCGAGTTCCAATTCCAGTTGGGTTCGTTATATTCACTTACGCACAAATACTCTTGGAAAAGATATGAATCCACATCTTTTACCGCAGGTATGGATTAACTATTAATACTTGTATCACTAAACCATTTTAATTCCTCCTCCCCACAAACACTTCTTACAATCTAAAAATATTGGCTGGCTTTAAATAACCTTCAAAACGGTTGATAAGCCGTAGAAAACGAATCAACCAAACCAGAATACAAAATAAATAAACGAGATTTTTAAGATAGAAATGATTTTTAAATACCAAAATGCTTGGCATCACCAGTAATGTTTGATATTGTTAGTAATGTTTTATTTTTTCTTAATTTTATTTTGTTTGTCAAACAAAATTTCTGATTGTAGTTATAGACCAATTTCCTAAATTCAGCCATTGGAGCATTAAATATGACCTGACTATGCTTATTATTGGTTGACATCAAAATTAAATGCTCGTTTCCTAGAGATATTCTGACACGAGCCGATCCAGGTGACATTGCTAGTCTATTACTGCCGCTGAAATAGTTTTGAGAAACAATGAAAAACTGGTGTTTTCTTATAACGCAACCCCGTTGGACAATCTTCCAATCATGATAATAGTCCTTTTCTCTGATAATATATCTATCTCTCACTCACTCACTCACTCACTCACTCACTCACTCACTCAAGGAGAGAATACATGCACATTGCTTCTTCTTAGGACAATTATAATATTAATGAATCATCCAGACTTACTTTGACCGAATTTTGAAAATAGAAAAAGAGAGAGGCAAGGGTGTCTGAAAGGGGCAAAAGACAGAATGGTCAAATATTATAGAGGGTGGAATAAAAAGAGAGATAAAATAAAAGAAAGAAAAAGGTGAGAGTTTAACGTTATGTGTTTTTATACACAAGGGTGCGGCAGAAATGTCTTCAAGATTTTAAACTCTCAACTGTGTGGCGCTAGTCAACTTGGGTTATTGGCAATAAGTGTCTCCATCTAGTTAATGTATTGCCATCTGTTTTTCAGACACCATCAGCTACTATCATAGCTTGGACCGGTGCACACCGTGCGTTTGCTGTTGAAAGTTTTGTTTTTTTTTTAAACTGGTGACTGTAATTGCAATACAATGTCTTTTCGTTGTCATTTCAAGTTACATCGGAGTGATGTTCTGGACAGAAAATTGATACTGCTACAAGTTGAACATTTTCGGTCCACCGTTCCAGCGCTTAAAAGAAAGCAACTTATAAAACCTCGAAGCAATCGGACTTCAAGAGTCAAGAAAAACTTTATAAATCGTCTACAGCAGTGTATGACGAATAGAAGCTACCATTTGGAGGATGACATTTCAAGGTACCAAATGAATAAGAACTGCAGCCCTTTGTTTAAACAACAGTGAAATAATTGCTTTAATAGCAGCTACCTTATTTTTGTGTCAACCTTTAAAACGTGGGAGATAATATTGCCCTACCCTGTATATAGTCATTCTTTATCTGTGTGTGTTTTCAATGTTACTATCTTACTGAACCCAGAGATACCATAAGTTACCAACATGGCTTACTTGTACTTGTTGCTGCATTCACCCGGAATCGGCTAAGACGGCTCCATCAAGCTAATTTGCCGCATCCCGATCGAAAGCTGACCAAGCATAGCAGAGATCGTATTCATTTAGACGTGCAAATTCCCAGTAGGAGTTTCAGTGTGAGTTTGGATTCACAAGTGGTCCCTAGGTGCATGTATCATCAGGGCTTGGATCGATGCACACTGTACGTTTGCTAATTTTTTAAGGCTGGTAAATTTGTCATTGAAACACAGAGAGCTGTTCGTGCTTATTTCATATTACGTCAAAGAATGCTATTCCGGATCAGGGCTGTAGGTTCAACGTTTTAAAGACAATTACTTTGAAGCGCTCAAACTCATCATCTACAACAGTGTACAGGGGGAAAAAGGCGGTCACCACTCGGAGAATGTTATTTTTAAAACCAAATGAATAAAGAGTGTAATTCGTTGGTTAAAGAACAATGAAATATTTTTTAACAGTAATTTTTTTTTTGTTTTTTGAACAAATTGTCCCAAAGAAAGTAAGAAAGGAGGAAGAGAGAAAGAAGGAGATTTTTTTTTTTTAAACTGAAACATTCACTTCAGGATACAGTCAGGCATGGTTTACGATTGTGTTCTTTTTTCTTTTCTTTTCTTTTCTTTTCTTTTGATATCTAGCGTCCTTGGTAAAGAAAACAATTGTCCATGGACTTCTACACGGTTTTTGAATTCAGTTCTCTTCTCCTAGACTGTCCAAAGAAACCTCTGCCCTTTGCTATTTTACTCATCGCTGGAGATTCCGGATCAGGGCAGCAGGTTCAGCATTTTAAAGAAAATCACCTTGAAGCGCTCAAACTCATCATCCACAATAGTGTATAGGGGAATAGAGGATGTCACCACTCGGAGAATGTTATTTTTAGTACCAAATGAATAAAAACTGTAATTAGTTGTTTTAACAGCGGTGAAATATTTTTCATAGCAGTTTTTTTTTTGTGTGTGTGTGTGTGTGTGTGTGTGTGTGTGTGTGTGTGTGTGTGTGTGTTTTCATCAGTGTGTAGCGAATAGAGGCTACCAATTGGAGGATGCCATTTCAAAATACTAAATGAATAAGAACTATAGCCCTTTGTTTAAACAAAAGTGAAGTCATTTTTTAACAGCACTTAACTTGTTTTCTTTTGTCACCCTTTAAAACATGGGAGATATTTTTGCCGCACCCTGCATATTCTTTATTCGTGCATGCTTTCAACTTTTCCAATGTTACTACCATATATTGAACCCACAGATGCCATTAGTTACCATCATGGCTTATTTACTTATTCAATTGTACTTGTTGCAGCATTCACCAAAGATCGATTAAGCGAATTTGCCGCATCCCGATCGAAAGCTATAGCAATGGTCGTATTCATTTGGACGTGCCAATTCATAGTAGGACTTTCAGTGTAAGTTTGGATTCACAAATTGTCCCCAGCCGCATGTATCATCAGGACTTGGACCGATGCACACTGTAAGTTTGCTAAATTTTTAAAGACTGATGAATTTGTCATTGAAATACAGAGAGCTGTTCGTGCTCATTTCATATTACGTCGAAGGATGCCATTCTGGATAGAAAATCGATACTTCTATGGGTTGAACATTTTAGGGCTGCCCGTTCAACGTTTTAAAGAAAACCACCTTGAAGCACTCAAACTCATCATCTACAACAGTGTATAGGGGAATAGAGGTTAGCCACAACTTGAAGGATGTCATTTTTAGAATCAAACGTTAAAAACTGTAATCCGTTGTTTAAACAACAGTGAAATATTTTTTAATGGCGATTATTCTGTTTTTTGTTCAAATTGTCCCAGAGATATAGAAAGAGGAAGGAGAGAGAAAGAAGGAGACATTTTATTTTATTTATTTTTTTTTTTTTCAAATTGATACACCATTTCAGGACACAGGTAGGCACGGTTCTCGGTGGTGTTTTTTTTTTCTTTACTTTTCTTTTAATATCGAGCGTTCTTGATAAAGAAAGCAATTTTCCGTGGACTTTCACACGGTTTTGAATTCAGTGCTATTCTCCTAGACTGTCTAAAGAAACCACTACCCCTGCTCTTTTACTCATAGCTGAAGATGGAGAAAAGATAGATTCATACCTTTTCCAAGGGCATTAGTACGAAGTAAAAACAAGAGCATCAGCTGGAAATTGAATTCGGTTAGCTAATTCCCTTCTTCCCATATCCGCTACGCCAACGTTGCGCTAATCAGCTATCACGTTGAAAGCGAAATTCTCATACCTGGTGAATAGCAATAATTTTCTTGGAGCTTCTATTCGCCTGCCTAAAATTGCTGATTAACGCCCTACTTTGATCGTCTTTCATTGCAATATAATTCTTTTTAATAAAAAAAAAAATCTTCCAAAAATATAATATACTTTTGTGAAACATTATTTGAGGAATATCAGCTTATTTAAAGTATAATTAATTTGATTTGAAACAAATATTATTTATTTTATGTACAAAATATCGCAAAAATTCATTTTTAACTCGACAATATCTGTGTTTCAAGCCCGAGAGCTGTTGTATTGACGTGAAGACATGTCTAATGTTCTAAGATTTTATATGTAAAACATAATTTAAGAAATGTCGGTAGCACCTTTTTATATAATTTTTAAGTACTCAGTAATCTTAAACAATTAGGAAAATATTCTCTGTAATCCAATGTTCTATTGGATGTTTAGAAATACTGACTTTAAATAATTTTCTAGGTGTTCCCATTCGCCTACCCGGCCTCCAATCCCGATGAATGGATGGCTCCCTCGGAGAGTCTCCGGTGCCTTGAGCACGTATTGTGCCTCAAACTCAACCTAGACCTCAAATGCAGCTAGTATCCATCGTTAAAAAGGCTGCACGGGAAGACTTTCCTGTACTGCTACTACTTACTGCTCTACTTACTCCAGTAAGGAGCGCTATCCTCTACATTTTCAAGAGCAAGATGTGACCTAAAATGGAGTATTGAGCAGGAGCTGTCCAGTCTTCACTCTCAAGTGTCCAAAAGCATCTCCGCGTCCTTGTCGGTGACGAAATATTTTCCACCTCAAAACCCCTTTTCCTCACAGACGAAAAAAACATCGCCAGTCTCTCACTGCTCTGTCGATATTTCGACGTAAAGTGCTCAGACGGAGCACATTCCTTAGTTCCACAATTCTAACCTTCACAGCTAAGATCCGTCATGCTACACGCATTATAGCGAATCACCGTCATTATTTTCGTGTCCTATTGGTGAGGTGTAAGTTCTAAACGAGCGGCTTCTTCCCGGGAACCGCTGCTCTGTAGGACCGACTCCCAAGACAATGTTTTCCCTATCACTACCGACGTTTCTTCCAGGACGTGCCGCGACTCTGTCCCGCTAGAGAAAAATATACAGCACCCTGA